TTGTAAGTTCATCTGATCTTTCTTAAAAATTGCTACTTCTCAAAATTTCCTATTAAAAAAATAGACCATATACCATATAAAATTAAACAATTGAAAGATCGGGCTAGAGAAAATCACACAAATTTTCGGAAAAATTTTGACCACCTGCACACGCACACAATCGTCAATTCAAAAAAAACTATTTTAGTACCTATTTTAGATATTTTAATAAACGCAAAAATAGCACAGTATTTACAAGGCGAAGTTATAAAAATTTGGAAGAACTAATAATGCACTGACGCACATAAAAATCAAACGAATACTAAATTTCATTTATCAAAAGCATTCGCTAGTCGTGGCTCAACGATAACTATTTAGTCACATGGTGAGGTTGTCACATATGCTTTAGTATACAAATGAATGAATGATTTTATTCGAATAAAACCATTCGATAGTTGAAATCATTCATTCAGTAACCATTCGATAGTTGTAATTCATTCGATAGTTCCCATCGCTACTAAATATCTCCGATGCTTCCAGATTTATTACCTCATAAAGTAAAATTTTAAATGCGTTGGTTAATATTATAATAGTAAGTAAACAACTAAACTTATTTTCCTTCCTTGGTGGTTATTGCGAGAGTATCTTAAATCTCCAATCTAGAACATTTCAGATTAATTTAATCTTCAAACAAAAACTATTTATACAGATGTTTTAGTTTGAAACGTATCCAGGAGTTTTCTGTGTGTAAATTGCAGTCATTTCGTTTGTAAATATCTTTGAGATGCTAGTTTTCCTTCGTCAAAAACTTTGTTACGTTCCAATAATTGAGTATGGCATCGTTCGTTTTAATTATGCTAAAATCAGGTCTCAAAGTTGGGCGAATTAAGCTCCGAAAGTCAATTAAGAAAATTGAAGGTATAATGGAAAAAAGTTTTGAGCTGAGCACAACGTAGAATGGGACGATAATTTTACTTTACTTTTTTGCACTTGACTATAAAAGATTCGTTATTATCAGAGCTTTAGCATTTAAAATTTCTCCATGAAACGTTGCTGAGTGTGTGTTTGGTCTCTACAGTAACTGAATATATTGTTTATTTTCCCATTAATAAATCGATGTACTTAAACAGCCGTTAAACGGTAGCCTACTAAAATGCCGTTAATAGATATTGTGAAGTCGTTCATGTCGGCGGAAAGTAATCCCTAGCCATAAGCATATTGCAAGAGCACATTTATTGCATGGTCCGAGGTTCAAATCTCACGCTGACCAAGACTTTTTTATATATTTTTTGCTTATAGCGTGATCTTATTGCATTGGTTTCACTCTTTTTGGTTGGATTGGTTTAGTTATTTGGCGGGTTGGTTAGTGTGGTTATTTGGAGGGTGTTAATTCATTGGTTAGTTGGTTATTTGGTGGGGTTGGTTGGTTTTTACTAATTTATATTTGTTTTTTAAATTTTTTTATCAGTGTCTAGGTTAGTTGCGTTGGTTAAGTTGGTTATTTGGTGGGGTGGATAGCGTTGGTTAGTCCTTATAAAATTCCTATATTTCATAAAGCCGTCAAGTGCGTCACATCAACGTCATACCTATTAACGGCATTTTAGTAAGCTACCGTTTAACGGCAGAGTACAGCCTTAATAAATTCTCCATCAATTTCTTTAATCTGAGAGGAAAACTATTAGAAGTTTAAGATACAATATTCTCACTCAATGAAGAGTACGGAGAGTAATGATGTTGAAATGATATAATGAACTTTATATCACTTGTATCATTTTCGAATAAATTATAGTTAAATGCTATTATCCCAATTATTGAAATTTTTATATTAGATATCCTAAAATAGAATAAGATAAAATAATTTTATATATTTATTGAGGAAACGCAATATTTATCTCATTAAATATTCATTCCCTCAATTCGGTTTATTTCAAATGCAATATTTAACTTGTAAATTACAAAATCTTTTTATCATAAAACCATAAAAGGCACTATAACCGGCAGCTGCTTCGCTTCCTACCCTTTTGAAACACTTTAGCGCTTTTACTCGCGAAAGGTATTTTAAAGACCGATCTGATGCCGGTTGAAAATTTTCAAAAAGCCAAGTGTGCTCGGAATCTCTAAACCTCAAATGTTGCTTATCTTCTGCTTAGACTAATCTTAAAGGGGATAATAAAATAGGGCGGTTTTATCTTTCTAGCTGTGACACTTTCAAAGAATAGTAGTATAACTATTATGTGAGAATACAAAATTAATAAATAAATAAATTAAGGATTTATTATCCAACAGGTCTAGTTCAATTATTAACCATTAAAATTAATTTATACAGTAGATACTCCAGATTGTCTTTTGTTTCTATTAATATTTTTTAAGTTAACTATGGATGGGTTAAAATATAAATCCGTCATACCTCGTCTCTTGTTATTTTTAACCAGTTTTATTGGTTTATTTCAAAAATGACAGATCATATTTCAATTTTATTGGTTTGACGGAACGATAAACGACAGACGCCGCGCCGATACGTATGAACTCGCCTTTAGATTTTTGAGGCTTTTCAAAGTCTTGCTAAATTATAGGTTATAATATTGTGTCAACTTACGTCAAATACCTGCGTTTTGGAAGATGATGCATTTTGATTCATGTTATTACGTGGGTTTTGAGTCTTTTGAAGTCAAGTGGAGGAAAAATCGAGGGAAAATTAACTGTAGACCCAAAGCACAGTTTATAGTTAATACTCGCTGCCCAGGCAGAAAGTCTTATACACCAATAAAGTTACCATCGATAAAGTTTGTATACCATCTCGTCGTAGATAAGTGCATCTCGTATGAGCTACAAGGATCGTACTAAAATATATACTACTAAAAATATATACTACTGGAGAGCTGTAAAATATCGACATCACACGATCGGTAAATAATAGATTTTAGTACTGCAGAAAAATAATTTCAAAAGGTACTGGTTTAAAAAAATTAAGATTAAAGTTAATTAATCAATCTTTAAGGCATAAAATTTGATAAGTGTTCTTATTAATTAAATAGTTTGTTTTATTTATGTTGTTTTATTTATTCCTGTGGAATATTACAAAGTTGTATTTGTACATAAGTTATATTGATAAATATAATAATAATTGCGGGAAATTTCTTGAAGCTTGAAAGTAATAAATAGTCCTTTTTTATGTTTTTTTGGTATGTGGTGTTTTGTTCTTGTTTGTTCTGTATTAAGAAGCATTTTTTCAGTTTTATACAGTTTTTTTGACAATATTATATCTTTTAAAAATAGTTAAAATCAAAAGAAAACATCTACCCTTTGTACATAAAAAATGCACATGGCCATAACGATCTATTCCACATTGGTTTTGGACTGTTCTTTTAAAAACGAACTTTTAAAAACTTTGTTATTATCTCCTGTTTATGTTTTTTCAGTTAAATAGCATAATCGTTGATTGAAAGAAGTGGGAAAATACGCAACATAATGGGCGAATTCGTGACAATGCTGACTTGATTTCCTTGAAGTGTTGTACGGTGGAGCCACCACTCGTTCTGCGGCTTACGCACTCATTTTCTCTAGTTTGGCCAGCGAAGGCATATAGAAGACGGTGTGGAACCGAAAGCGAGAGTGTTGCCATATTAAAATGTGTAATATTTGTAATACCTTTTGACGAACATATCTTTGGATGAAAAATCCGCGTTTATGTATTGATCATTTATTCGCGTTAAACATAGAATAAATAACAAAAATACAAATTCTTTTATAGGTACTGAATATTTCATATGATAAAAAAACTCTCGTCAAAAAAATCACTTACAATCGGGCTCATAATACACACACATAATACAAAATTTATAAAGCGACTTAATGTAGCGTTGTTTGATTTTCTACGCTATCTAATACTTAATTAATTAGAAAATCAATAATTAATTCGTTTTTGACGGCAAAGTTTCTTAAAACATTCTGAAAGTTTAAAAATTGAATAAAATTGTAGCTGTTTTCTCTTTTATTTCTGTTTCGACTTACTAAAACTAACCAGCAAACAATAAATTTCAATTACAGTTTTCATTTTTCGAAGTTTCTTAAAGTGAGTTTAGTTGTTAGGGATAATAAAATATGTGGTATTTTTCGACCATCTTAGTTCTACTAATATATTTCTTGAAAACCTTGAAAAATGAATTAAAACTTCTAAAAAAGCTTACTATAAACAAGGAAATATGTTCAATAAATATACGATTTTCATATTTCCTGTTACACTTGATTATATTCATTCAAGTAAAATAGGAATTAATGCTTTGAATAATTTGTTCATGTTTTGAGAGTTAATAAACATCTTTTAATATTTTATGAATCTATTTTTAAAATATTATGCTCATTCTTGTGTAACTTATATTTGTGTAATATGAGTTACAATCAAATGAGGCTTATTGGAAAATATTGGATATTTCTCCAAAAAAATATCTCAAATTAGGATCCCGTCTCATATTAAGCTACTTTCCTCTATGTTATTCGTGTAAATTTAATTATTGATAATTCGTATGTTTATTACAGTAAATACACAGCCAAATTAAAAATGTTATTATTCTTAAAAAAAATATTTTTAAAAGAATATCTATATCATTATATTAATTATTAGCAATATTTATACAGTGCACATATTAAATATTTGAACAACGAAATATACCTCCTTAATAATAAAAACAAATATAAAAATATAGAATGAAATAGATAAAATATCTGACGCATTATCAAAACTTTTTTGTGGCACCCTGTATACAATAAAATATTTTTAGGATATGCCCCTTATCTTATATATATGCTCCTTATTTTCATATCTTCGACAACAACGACGATACTAATGGACTTCCTCGCACTAATCGTACACCCTGTATATGCGCTTTTTTGTTCTCATTTGAAATAACTATCTTTTTTAACATATTTATTCAATATTTAGTTGTTATAATAACAGTTGTTATAATAACAGCGTCCAAAAATACATTAATTACAATGCTTACCATTTTATATTATTTACATACATATGTCATGGGCTAATAAATTTGTCTGCTTTCTGCCTTACCTGAAAACAAAAGAAAAAACATAAGGTATGTGAAAAAATGTTTTAGAATATAGCATTTAACAGGGCTCCGGCTCAGAATTGACTCTGTTTAATAATATAATAGTAATAATATAATATAATATAATATAGCTTACAAATATGTTATTTAATATATCAGTATCTACATATACCTATAAAATGCTAATGTTTATCTGTGTCGTCTCTACCGAAGCAACGACTTGCTCTAGAAAGTTGTTCTTTTTACTAAAAGATAGCTAATTGGCTCTTCTAAAAACTGTCGTCGCCGGATTTTTTGTTTTTCATTTAATTAAACAAAAAATAAGCAGTATTTTTTTCCTGATATCGTGGCGGATGCGCCAGGCTTCAACTAGTAAATATATAAAAGATAATAATTGAAATATTATAAAAAATTCCATAAAATGATTTTGATATTTTCAAATATTACACAGACCGTTTTGTCTAATTTAATTAAAAAGGAGTATTATTGTTTATAATCGAATAATCCCAATATATTGTTTATTCTAATATTTTATTTTTATTATTTTATCTACTGTGGAATTAAATACTTCTGCAAAAATTTCAGTTTACTGAAAACACGAAAAAGAGCTTTTATTCAGATTTTAATTAAATTATTCTATGTTATAGGATATCGGTTAATCTTGCATTACTTGCTAAAAATATATACATATGTATGAACGTTAACAAATATCTGAACAAGATTAAACGGGAATATAAAATAATCCTATGCTCGTAGATGGGGTTCAGAACAGGGACACCCCAATACTAAAAGTACCGGGAATTCCCTGTTCTTTCGGTACTGTCGGGACTCGGTTACAATATATAAAAAAATATGTTGGGTCGTCCATTGATATTTTCTAGCGGTCGAAATCAAACTCTTTTAAATAAATAGTGCTGCTATCCCTTACTCTTCTTACATCTGAAGTTCTTTTCGAGTTCCTATAATGTTTATTAGCAATTTTTGGAGTTTAAATATGTTATTATATTTGCTAAAGTAGTTGCTAAATGTATTAGTTTAATGTTGCTAAATGTATTAGTTATATTTTTATATTATGTTTTTATAAGCATTTGCATTTTTTATAAGTATATGCAGGATTTTTTTTCAAATTTAGTTACGTTTGTTTATGATGTTTGATGAAAATTTTAATGCCGGAACCCCATTAGGCAACACGCCACGCCACGCAACGCCACGCAACCTCACGTCATGAAGATCTGTGCGTATGTTTTTCCATTTAATTATATGTATTGCGTACACACTAGACAACACGCCACCCCACGTTACGCAGTCACACGTGTCACACGCCATCCTACGCAATCCCACGCCATCACATGTGTGTCGTCTGTCCCAGATCTCATGTGTACATTCTTCCAAAGGCGCGTGGCGTGTGGCCTAATGGAGTCCCGGCTTAAGATGTCTATGTTTTTTTCGTTTTTTATTCTTCGATTATATTCATTTGTGTTCATGTTAATTTTCTCATTACTGTTTACGTATTAATTTCATATTATTTTCATTTAAAACTCAATTTTTTATCAGTTTTAATTTTGTAAAACATCCCTTGTTTGCTGATTGACAAACCGCACAATCATTAGTCAAAAATTTGCTGGTACAGAAAGTACCAACAAAACCGGGAAATCCCGTTTTCTTAGAGGCATCATGCCGAAATTTCCGGTTCCGGAAACTCTATTATTTTTTTGTTTCATAAAAAAAGACTTAAAAAAAAGTACACGAAAACATTACAATAACTTGTTGAGGACACGAGGCAAATTATATAATTTCAAAGTAACACCAAACATTTCCAACTAATAAAGTACTTATAAGGGTACTGGGACGATGGCAAAGTTTAGAGAAAAGGAGTTTCTGTTTAATTACCTTTTTGTTTTGAAAAACGGTGTTGGCGCAAACTTTTTAAACTTTCCAAAAAGGAAACGGGGAAGTAAGGAATACAAACGATTGTCTGGTAATGCCGTTTTGTTGCAAAATTTGCCGGAAACTTCCATCGGGTTGTCACGGAGTTTTTTAAAGGTTTCCAAGTTTTCTAACCGCGAGAAGAATTACTTTGTTCAAAAAATTACTTAAGGAAAAAAAAGAAATAGTTTTTGCTGGCAGTTTAGCAATTTTTGCCAAGTTTTTACCATTACATTGATTTCATATGTGCAAGGTTTAATAATGAAAATAGACGAAAATGAAAAAAGAGTTGGTAAAAGGCAGTTTTTTCCTAATATTGAATCAAATAATTTCATTTTATAATGTCCTATAACACAACATTTTTATAAATATAATAGAAAACAAAAACAAATTGTGTGTGCACTATGTGCGCATATTTGAAGTGAAAATACTTACTCACAGCTATTAAATTGAAGGATTTGAAAAAACATGTAGTTTGAAATGTTGAAAAAGTAATAAATAATTTGATTCACTTTCACAAAATGTGTATTAAAATGACCGTCTGTCCGACTCTATTCGGGTACCTCTATCCATGTGCCGAGTTTGGTTCCAATCGACCAGTAATTAAAAAAACGATGTACTTAAACAGCCGTTAAACGGTAGCCTACTAAAATGCCGTTAATAGATATTGTGACGTCGTTCATGTCGGCGTAAAGTAATGCCTAGCCATAAGCATATTGCAAGAGCATCTGTGGCTCCGTGGTTGAGGCTATCGGTTCGTGAGCGAATGGTCCGGGGTTCAAATCTCACGCTGACCAAGACTTTTTTTATATTTTTTTTGCTTATAGCGTGATCTTATTGCATTGGTTTCACTCTTTTTGGTTGGATTGGTTTTGTTATTTGGCGGGTTGGTTAGCGTGATTATTTGGAGGGTGTTAATTCATTGGTTATTTGGTTATTTGGTGGGGTTGGTTGGTTTTTACTAATTTATATTTGTTTTTAAAAAAATTTTATCAGTGTCGAGGTTAGTTGCGTTGGTTAAGTTGGTTATTTGGTGGGATGGATAGCGTTGGTTAGTCCTTATAAAATTCCTATATTTCATAAAGCCGTCAAGTGCGTCACATCAACGACGTCATACCTATTAACGGCATTTTAGTAAGCTACCGTTTAACGGCAGTTTAAGTACAGCCTTAAAAAAATATCCTGATGATTTCGTCCATTTAGAGACATCGGTTCGAAACGTCGCACAGTGTTTCAGAATCTTAAAGCAGCTGGAATTTAATAAATGTTCTGACTACGCACAAACAAAATAATTTATTCATATGTTAAGAAAAGATACAGTACAATATAAAAATAAACAATTTTTAGTAAAATTGGTCATTCGTCTTTAAAATCTTACACTGAAAAGATTTGAAAAGTGGTTACTTTGATACGTTAAATTATTTTGCGTTTTGACATTACATATTTTTTACCTTGAAATTATTTCTTAATCTTAGTTTACAAGACATCAATTTTTTGATGTTTTAAAAAGCATTAGAACAATGACACCATCCAGTAAAGAGTCACAAATATTTTATTCAAAGAAGTCATTAAATTTGTTCACGAAGAATCCCTTACGGATGGCGAATTAATATTAATTGAAGCCTGTGTTCGAAATTTTGGTATAGTTCTTTACCGAAAATGGAAGAAAAGTGGATTTCATTTATCTAAATTTTTAAAATCAAATCCTAACCTAACCATAACATTATTTTTTCTATTTACTTATATAAGTAAGTATTACATTTATGATTTTTTAGTAACAGAACTTATATTTTTTTGATCTAAATTAAACAAGAAAAATGGGACACCTTGTGTATATTATTATTAGTTTACTGCCAAATATTATTACATTTGATGCAAAAAGGCTTTTCTGACAAAAAAATATAAATGCTTTTTGTATCTTGAAATGTAGCATTATTTTCCACCTGAATTGGGATTCTGAAACACTGTGCGTCGAGGGCGTCATCTTGTAGCCCGTCACCAATTATGGAAATCGACCCACATTTTTCTTCAATATATCAAATGCTTAGTTCGACCTTGATGAAGATGTAAACGAAATGCCGTATCCAACCTTGCAGGGTGGGTAATTTTTAAATCAGATATCTTAACGATCTAACAAATACTTTAGAATATTACAGGAATACATGTTTCGCAAATTATATTTAAAAAAATATGAAATAAATAAAAACACTTATCTATCAGCAGTTGCCTTACTGATCTTCCAAAAATATTCTGCTTCAGACATTTGATTCGTTTAGGAAGGGCATTGTAAAATTTTATACAAAGATATCCCGGGCAGTCCTGACACCTTTTGAGTCTATGATATGCCAATCTCAGCATATGTTTTTTGCCTCATGAAAATTGATACTAACAGATTTGTGGATTACATTTAGTCAAGAAAATGGACTCAGGACTTAGCTAGAAAAGATAAAAAATACAAAAAATGTAAAGCACTGAATAGTAAAAATGCCTTGCCTTTCATAACTACAAAATATATTGCAATATCTCTAAAAATTCCTATATGGGTATTTAGCCACTGCAAGAAAATCTACAAAATAAAATAGTTATTTTTTGTAAACACTTCTGCGTTAATCCAAACTTATATACAAATTTGCCTAACGAACAAAAAAATGCTTAACGTTTCGGAAAGTTTATCTCTTTCCGTCGTCGGAAGCAAAAAAAGAGATCTAGATCCTTAAATGTTCGAATTAAAGAACATAAAGATTATTTAAGGAAGGGGGATTTTCACAAATCTAAGATTTGGCAGCATTCATGGGACACAGGGCACGCCATTTAATAACGCCAAAATTGTAATGAAAGAAGCGATAGCCTCTAAAAGAAAAATAAAATAGGTTTTTTTAATACAATCTAATAAAAATAAATGTATTGGTATATTTGTTTTTACCTTATTAAGTAATTGTTATCAGGTAGTAATTGTTAATTTTGAAGTTTTACTTGATATAGTAATGTCATTTTAACAGAACGTCAACGGTTTTTGTAGACGTATCTGTTTTAAAAAACTAAAGTGTTCTCGAATAGTTG